AAAAATTAGCTGAAACTCCTTCATGTTATCGATGACGGGTGTTCTAGGTTATCATGCTTCCCTCCTTGTTGCTGGTTTTAAAGATTTTTCTCCTCTGAATGTGACTAGAGAGCCCTGCTAATCCCGAGTCATTTCTTACTCAGTGGACACCACTCACACCCCTGCAGTAATTATTTCATGATCTGTGAAGAAAAAGGGTTGGAATCTATGGAATCCTGGGGCAGAGATATTTCAGAATCCTGATGACAACAGTGATGATACAAACTTAGTCTTATACTTAGTCTTTTGAGCACTCACTGTGTGCTACATACTTTGCATTCCATTTAATGTGAGCACTACCCAGGAAGGTGGGTACCACCATCATTCTGATATTAGAGACAGGAAGGTAACTGAGGCTTAGCTAATTTACCCAAGATCACACCACTGGTAAGTGGTAAGGCCAGGATTCAAACCTAGCATGTCTGTCTGCAAAAGCTATGCTCATAAGCACTTGTTCCCCTTTGGAACTCAGTGTAACTGGGGATAAACTAGAGCAGTGGTTCTCAAACTTGAATGCGCATCAGGAGAATCTCTTGGAAAACTCCACCCTCCAATTTCTGATTCAGCAGGTCTGGATGGAGCCTGGGAATCTGCATTTCTAATACATTCTCAGATGCTGTTGCTGGTGGTCCAGGGACGCTGCTTTCGGAACCACCAGTTTAGAGCAGCGTTGTCCAGTGAAAAGATTATGTCAGCCACATGCATGTGTCATTTTAAATTTTCTGGCAGTCACATTTTAAAAAAAAGAGAAAAAGGCAACAAGTGAAATTAATTTTAATAATGTATTTTATTTCACTCATTTGTGTCCAGAATATTATCATTTTAACATTTAATCAATCTGAAATGATGAATGACTTCATTTTATATTTTTTTTGTAAATATTCAAATTTGATATTTTATACTTACATTTAACTGCTCGGTAACCATGTGTGGTTAGTAGTTGCCGTTCTGAAGAGACTGAGCTGTAACCTGTTAGAATAACACATTAGAGGTGAGAGGCAGAAAGAAGGAAATAACCTGGCTTTTCCGATGAATAACTTAAAGGGCCCTTTTGCCAGCCTTGAACCTCTTTGAGCATGGGGCTCTGCCCCTAGGCTAGGAGTACCACAGTAGTGTAGGAACCGAGAAAGATTTCCACTAATAAAGAGGTCATTCTTTAAGGGCCCTTACAGTTTTTGGACCCCAAGAGCTTGTAGCACCAGACTAGAGGATGGGGTTCTTCAGTGCAGCCTGAGGGGATGAGAAAAACATCAAGGCAAGATGCCACGTGCTGGTACAGGATGGCCTTCTTATGCATGTCTGTTCCCAAAAGAGGGCTTCAGGAATTACAGACCTGGGGTTCTCCAGGTAAACCCAGGCCACTCCTCTTACTTGATTTTTGCAGGCTTAATTGTGGTGGGGAGGCATAGTGCAGATAACTATTTGATGATTTGTAATGCTAGAGGGGGCCAGTCCTAATCAGAAGCACTTCTCTGGGAGCCACCACCTCTCTGAAAAAGTCAGGGAGATGGTCATAGCTACTAGTGTTCTGGCGCCTTTACAAACTCACATTTCTTTGTCTTTCAGGTACTACGGATTATCCGTTTGGTTCCCTGATGTCATTAAACACCTGCAGTTGAACGTGTTGAGAAATAGCCAGAAACTTGTTTCGAATGTCACTATTAACTTTACAATGGCGAATCAGATTAATTCTGGAATGGAATACTACAATGTCAGGTCCAGAAACTTCTAAATAATTTAATTTTCTACCTAGTCTCAAACATGTATTTCTTATTAGCTTTCACGGCACTAAATCATGCATAGTTTTTTGGTGTTGGTTGTTTGTTTGTTTTAGTTTGTACATGTAAGCATTTTTCAGACTGAATGTGAGTACTTCAAATAGCCTTTAAAGAAAACGTGCATGTTTATCAGTTACTTCACTTACAACTGATTCTGAAACTGAACTGCTCACATTTATAAAGGAGTGAATCATCGACTGGTATGAAAAGAACATTCACAGAAGCCTTGGAAATCAAGCAAAATAAGTCAATGGCAGAGAAACATGAAGATTATGAGAAAATAAGATAGGTTATATGTTATTTAATTCAGAGAAGAAATCTGACGTGTAGTTTGATGACATCTGTTTTCTGTCTCTGGATATGCCTGCCTTTTCCGCTCTACTGAGTCATGAATCGGGGTTAATTTGTATTAGGAATAGTTTTCGATTAGAGAACAGGAATGAGTCCCCAAAGTTAGGGCCTTGGAAAATACAGAATAAGTTAGCAAAGGACGTTTTTGAGTATGGAATCTGGAGGAGAGAGAACGAACTCAAAAAGGTGGTTCTGGTTCATTCTTTCAGAGAAGGAAAGGGATGGACCAGGTTCTTGTTTCTACCCACGATTTGCTGTCTGAGCAGATAATTGCTGGCAGGAGTTCCTGTTGGTTTATATCATTCTTAGGAAATTGTCCTAATTTCAAAAGTGATAAAAGTGAAAATCTAAAATAATTGACCCAAGTTTCCCAAGGCAAAAACCAGTTTGGAAGGATGAAAAATAATTCTGTGGGATACTTGTGGCTTGTATAATGAAGAGCAGAGTCACCAGCTCAGAGCTCATTGTTTGGATGGGCAATTCAGTGACTGGCCGAATCCTTATCCAAGCCGTATGGTTTCCCCTTCACTCTCCCACATAAAATACTGACTTGAATCTGTACTTGTTTTTCAGCAGAAACATTGGGGTCAAGTGCTTTGTAATTCTAGGGTGAAAATTTATTTCATGTATTTAAAAAGTATTGTTACTCCATTACAAATTTCTAGTGTGTATGTGTCTCTGATGGTCCTAATTTTAATAAGCAGTTCTAAGCTGCATATTCAGTCATTACGGAGAAATTTTTTGCTTTAGCAATATAATTATTAATAATTTTAGTAATGTAATGATTAATAATTTTAGTAGCATTAAAATCCTTGTGAAATATATGTTTATTTTAGAAGGTGATAGGATTTTTTGTGTGTCTTTCAAGGAAATTTGAAATACCACTAGTAAAACTCATTTTTTAAAAAACAGTTTTCCTGTTCAACATCTTAAAATGTCAGTTCTTTATGTGCTGATAGGGAATGACCTCCCAGGTAGACTGTCAGGAGAACAAAGTGTAGAATAGCGTCTCATTTGCCAGGAGCCTGTGTGCAGGATGCTCCCGGAAGCGCATACGAGAAACTGGCAACAGCGGTTATCTCTGGGAGAAAGAACTCGGTGGCCTGAGGATGGCGGGAAAAGACTTACTTTTTTCTTTTTCCACATTTTGAATTTTGTACCCTGTGTTCTTTGTGTGTATAGTATCCATTCCAAAAAAAAAGTTTCCCTTTTCTAAATTCAGTTCCATTTCAGGAAATTAGTGGTCCTCTTAAAATATGTCATTATTTCCCCTCCTTTAGTGGATAGAGTTATGGCTTAGATGGTTAGATGGTTTTCCTCTGAACCCCTGGAGTAGGGGTTGAAGTAAGATTGTTTTTTAAGGTAGTCCGTCGCTTAGGCACTTAGCGCACTTTGAGCTGACAAATGCCGTCTGGTATTAGGGTGGGAACAATTCTGAAAGTACTCAATAGTGGATTGCTTTTAAGTCAGTGAGGTCACTTGCCTAGGACCATCAGTCCGTTTCTGCCCTAGTAAGAGTGGTATTTTATATAACTTCTTTCCATTTGAACTAGCATTTTCCTTTCAGTGACTGGCTAAGTATACATCCATAGTCTCTTAACAAATTACCCACGCACTCTGATGAATATTTATGCATGTCTCCTGGGCATCCTTGTCAACACGGATAGTCTGAACCATAGACTCTTCTAAGATACTAGGATCATTAGGACTACTGGCATCTCCACCTTTCTCCTTGCATCACCCAAAAATGTATCTGAGCTTTCATAATTCTATACATTTCCAAAAATAAGCAAAGCCACGGCCATTCTATTTGGTTCGAGGAATACTTCTTGGCTGTGAGAAGAAAACTATTCTTGGAAATGTGTATATGAACTATGAGTTTCTTGACCCCTGAGTTAATCATTCCTCACATAAATAAAGCAGAATTCTCCCATCTTTTCTTCAAGATAATTGGAAATCCCTACACTGGAATGAAGAAGCCTTAAGTTTTCAGCCTGGGAGACAGACTTTCACTAAAACTTAGCATGGGAGCACATCCTCAGTTAGAGCTATTAATCCCAAGTAGAGAATTTTTAAATAAAGGCATATGTGAAGGAACAAGAGGATAGGGTTGAAAAATAAAGACTCAATAGCCACAGGTAATCTTCATACTCAATCCTTTCAACTGCATACTCCACAAAACCTTTTACCAACATTGCCAAAAGCTAAATGAAGTTATTTTGAATGCCATCTCTTCTTCTGGTAGAAAATCATATTGGTGAGCAATGAGATAGCCAAAGGGCACGCTGCATGGGGAAAAGAGAGGAAATGTTAAGAGCTTAGAAAATCCAAAAGCCAATGTCCTTTCTAATTAAGAGAGTCTATAGTGGGACGTCACATCACTGATTTGTTTGACTTAGCCTTGAACCCTGATGGATACAGTTATTGATGTGAATCTTTTTGTGTGTTGGACAGATTCCAAGGGATCAAGCTCAAATCTGTAACTTTCAAAGATTCGGATTTTAAGTCCTGTGTCTTTGAGGATGTGACTTCAGCTGACATCTACTTCAAGAACTGCACATTTATTAATTCTTCTTTTAACAACACAGGTAGGTGTGCTACTTAGCCCTCCCTGGGGCCTCTTCAGAGGGCCTAGTTTTTGGCAGAAATGTAATACCCGCTTGGTGATAGGTGTGGGCAGAGGCTCATGGGAGAAATGGAGGTTGAAGTGCGAATGAATGGACTCCCTCCATCAGGATAGATCGAAATTGAGCTTGTATTGTTTGTCTTTGTCAAATTTAATGCAGCTGGAACTTCCTGAGTTTCAAGTTGGGAGGTCGGTGGGAAAATCCTGTGATGAATCATTTTTAAAGCAGAGAATTCACCTGTACTTTGTTTGTTTTGATAACCCTGGTTTCAAAATCTGATGTTTACTTAAGTGAGCACGCCCGAACCTCTGTCTGCGGAGATGGATGACACATGGCTCTGCTCAGTCGGATAGTCTTTTTATCCAGTCCATTTAATGGAGTCTGGAAAACTACCCAGGGAAAAAAAGAGGGGAAACAAACATTGATTGAGCACCTACTGTATGCTGGTTCCTACCCCAGGTTATTAGACACTCATTGTCTCCTTTCGTTTTCACAATAGCTTAGGCTTAGAAAAATTAAGTAATTTGGCCACAGTCATAGAACATAGCTGACATTTGAGCCCAGGCTTATCTGATTGCCAAGCCCAGGCATCTCCACCCCCATACATTGATTGGTCTGTCTGTCCCATGAGACCAAAATTACAGCCTGACCCTGGCAGGAGTATCAGGGCCACCCTGTTGCCAGCCTTGCCTTCTTGGTGCTCAGACAGGAGTCAGCTCTGCCTCACTCTAAGTGAGAAAGGAGCCAGGCACCTTGGGATGTGTTTAAACAGTGCTCTCCCTGTCTTCCAACCCATTCAACCTCAGAAGACCAGCTTTTTAGGCAGATCTTGATCAGCAAAGACAACAGCAATTTTGACTCTCACTGCCTTTTAGCAGAACTCAGCATCATCCGCAACCCCTTTTGGGCAGACCCAAGTTCAAGAAAAAAAAGTCAGCGGTGAATGCTAGTGATCTTCCAGTGAGGCTGACTCTTGTTTTTTGGTGGATCCCCCCACTTAGACCCTCAGTTATCAATTCAGCCTCAAGGAACCCCAGGAAAGTCCTGTTCCTTCTCACTGCCTCAGAGCCCCATAAAATGGCAATACTAAGGCTGATTGATACACATTTTGAAAACAAATTATTTCTGTAATTATAGTATGGAAGCTATTAGTACTATAATGATCAATAGTCCTTGTGTAACATGATAATTAGAACAAAGTCACATCATAATGGAGTAAGCAAGTCATGTAACTAGCAACGACCAACCATAAGAAATCAGAAGATAACTGGACTCTTTATCCCTTTATTCAACAAAGGTATTCCTTCCTTCAGCTGCTTTGTAATGTGAGGTCCTAGACTAGACCTGTGCTTTGGCCAGGCCCTGAAGCCCTCAAGGAATTTACAATACCATGATGCGTTTCTGAATTCTCAACAGACGTTCTTATACTGGTGCACAACTGTGGAGAGCTTGATGAATTGTCTTTCTTTTGTATACGCAGATTTTGAGCCATATAAATTCATCGACAGCGAATTTCAGAACTGCTCATTTGCTCACAACAAGACAGGATGCCAGATTACCTTTGATGATGACTATAGTGCCTACTGGATTTATTTTGTCAACTTCCTGGGGACACTGGCCGTGTTGCCAGGGAACATCGTGTCTGCTCTCCTGATGGACAGAATCGGGCGCTTGACGATGCTAGGTATGTGCCTGGTTTCGTGTAAAATACAAGAGCTGCCCCTACAATCTAGAGGGAGTCTGCCTCTCATTGTAGTCTCCCACCCCGCTGAGGATTTGCATCCCACGGAGGTGAGGAGAAATCCCTGAAGACCTTCCATTAGGACTAAATTTTAGTAAAAATTATGTGTAATTACATCTCATTGGAGCGGCTTCTGGGAGTTAACAGACTGCAGAGCTAATTATGCATGACTAATGTGTATTTTTCTGCTTACATAGCTGAGTAATTGATGATACACATTTCATGCTTGCTGATTTCAGAAGGTAGGTAGAGGCAAACCTTACGTACAGGTGAACACACTGGTACCTGAACCCAGCCCGCAGCTTCCTCTTGGGATTCAGTTTTGCTGCAAGATCTCAAAGACCCAAGGCATCCTGGCTCTACTATGGTGATGGGAAACTTCCTGGCCTTTTGTCTGCAGGTGGCTCCATGGTGCTCTCGGGGATCAGCTGTTTCTTCCTTTGGTTTGGCACCAGCCAATCCATGATGATAGGCATGCTGTGTCTGTACAACGGATTGACCATCTCAGCCTGGAACTCTCTTGATGTGGTCACCGTGGAACTGTACCCCACAGACCGAAGGTATGTTGAAATGGACCTCTAGGAAGGGGCACTCTGAGCCCCACAGGATCCCAGAAAAGTCAGAGAAAATAAGCCAAACTGTCATTTTTCCAAGAAAGCAAAAATCCAAAAGACATCTGGCTTGCAAAGTTGTAGGTTCTACCTGTATCTTATTTTTTTTAATGAGGCAAAACATTGTTATTTCTTCACTGAGTATTACCTTTGGTGCCATAAAAATGTTATGACTTTGAAAACAATTTGGAGATTAGTTTCTCAACTTGCAAATATTCCTGGAGATACATAATGATTGCTGACCAGGGATAATCATAAATGAAATGCTAAATAATTGCATTGGAACAATTATAGGAAAAGTATTCGAATTGTCCCCAATTTTTACAGCTAGATTATATTTAGCAATGTATGCGGGTATTATGTGGTTAAATATATATATATTCAATATTAATATTAAATATATATACTAAATATATATATTTGACTGTAATGCGGTATGAGAAAATCAAAAGTAAGTTTGCCTAGGAAGGCTTTTGAGTATATATATATATATATGGGTATTTGTAGGTAAGTTATTAGACAAGGTGAGGCTTTGAAGTTTTTTTACTTGATTTTTTTTTAGGTATAATTGATGTACAATATTATATAAGTTTCAGGTGTACAACATAGTGATTCACAATTTTCAAAGGATATAGTCCATTTATAGTTACAAAACAATATGTACAGTATGTCCTTGTAGCTTATTTATTTTCTACATCTACTTGTATCTTTTAAAAAGAAAATGTAGGGGAATATAGTTGCTAGCAGGGGTTAATAGGGCGGTGAAAGCAATGAAAGAATTTAATTGTGTGCATGCCTTAGTTTTCTGGCTACTGACATGAGAAGGCTATAATGAAGCAGTGAGGGAGAGCATCTAAGAGGCTCTCGGGGCCGCTTATCAGTCCTAAGAGGGTCCTTACCTTCCATTTGCAAGTGTCTGCATGAGCTCTGCATTAAGGCACCACAAAGAGGTCTCTAGAACATACCTCTTGCCCTTCCTGATCTGCTGCAGGAAAGCCTGACACATTTCCAGTTAATGAAAAAAGATTGCTAAGAGAAGAAAATTATACATCTGTTCCCAAAACAGAGACTCTGCGCCTCGTATCAGAAAAAGGGCTAGAAGGGAGGGCTTCGGGGCAGAGCTTCAGCAGCTGAGCCATTAAAAGCATAGAAGCCCCGTTTTGGCATTTGACACGAGCAAGGACAAATGGCCTTTGCCTTCTTTTCTTCCATGCATGCTTTGTCACCTTGGAGGCCCTCTCTGCTAGAGGGTGGACTCAGGATTCTCTGGACTCTGAAATGGAGGAGGGTTTTTCCCTAGGATGATACAGAGACACTTGGGACACCACTTTTCTACCAATCCTGAGTCCCTCCTTTTACTTATCGTCCCCAGTGGGGTACATTCTCTTCCTGCCCATCCTCTAACTTGTATTTCTTTTTCTGGAACATCTGTCACTGAGCTGATAGGTACTCCTGTATCCATGTCTCTGCAGAGCATCTGAAACAATTAGGAATGTCTGCTCATCAAATACTCTAATCAGCAACCTTCTATTGACCACTTAGTCTCAGAAGGGAACTGTACACACCGTTTGTGTCCAGCATTTGTTCAACAAACGCTAACTTTCTTTCGTGGGCAAGCTCCTGGGATGGATGCCGCAGGTCTCGGGATGAGGGTGCTGCCAAAACCAGGTTAAGACTCTGCAATCTGCTTGCTTTCTCATCCTTCAAACTGGGCCCAGATGTGGATTAAACTAGATGTTTAAAAAAAGCCCCTCAATGGATAAAGCAAGGCTGTGTCACAGCCTGCGAACTTTTTGTTTTACATTGTGAAAGTGTGATACTGTTTTAAATGAATCAGCAGCTGATCCCTCTGCCGTAGGAATGGAAGGTAGGAAGGATGAGTATTCTTCTGTGGCAAAAACCTGGCTGAAAAACAAACACCATGAACTGGGCAGGTTTGTCTATGAGAAACGTGAACCTGCTGTGTTTCTGTTGTTGGAAACGTTAAACGTTAACCAGGATAAAAACAGAGATGGCTCTGTGTCTTAGCTCAGGTCCTCTGAGAAGCAGAGCACAAGATGGGATTAAACATGCACAGGTTTTGTCAGGGAAAACGCCTGTGTGAAAGAAAATGGGGAGGGAAGTGAAATCTGGGAGAGCCACAAGGCAAGCCCCATGGCGGAGCGAGGACAGAAGACCAGGTGGGTGGAATCATCCCAGACCACTGGCAAGCTGTCTAAGGAAGGTTCAGCAAGGCTGTGAGTGTCACCTTCAGGGGAGTCCTGCCTGTCCCGGGCACCAGTCTGCCATCATATTCCTGTTGCATTCAGTTACCGGAGCGGCAAAATACAGGGATGTGTTTTGGAGCACAGCAGCTGGGCCAGGACTCAGAAATCAGCAAGGTGCAGTCTCACTGTAGCCACACCTGCTAGCAGACCTTCTCCAGCATTTAAGCTGATGTTATCAGATCATGTGCAGGAAGTTGCTTCCTTAAGCGATGGAGAGATCGCTTGTCCTCCAGAGCTGCATCCCAGGGCCATGGTGAACTAGCCAGCCCCTCTACTCTGTTTCAGGCTAAAACTTTCTCTTCCACCTCTGCTGTGTTCCTCCCAGTCACATAAGGTGGCCTCCGCTGATCTGTGGCTCAGCTGCTAGAGGAAAACCCCAGCTGCTCTGTGTGCAGGTCCTCTGTAGCCTCTCCTCCCTGTGGAAGCAGAATAGGATGCCTCCTGGCGAGAATTCTGGTTAGAGGCTGCGATTTTTCAAGCTAGAACTTGAAAACATTGCCAACTCCTTGCCCAGTTTCTAGAATCTGTCCTTAATGATCAGAATGGGACACTCTGATTCCAGGCCCTAAACTAAAAAATAACCTCTTAAGCCATTTAGCAGACAACTCCTATCCACATCCCAGTGGGAAAACATGATTTAGGATATAGTCTAAGTGCCATGAAAGTTGTAGCACTTGAAAGCCACACTTGTCAACCACTGTACGGATGTGACCTTGAATGTTAAACCTCTGACTCTCAGTCGGGGTTACTTTTGCATTTACTGTGAAGGCACCAGTGAGAACACGACATTTCCCACCGCAGTGCACCATTCCTCTATGCAGAGCCCACCGCTCAGTCTGCAGGGAGTTGCAGGACCCGCTCTGGGGAGCAGCTCTGTCTCCTCTCTTCCTATGATAATAACCAGTCATTCTTCACATTTCCTGCTCTGTTGTGCAGTCAGGAGGTGGAGAGCTGCGTCGAGGTCACATCTGCACGGTCCAGATGTTTGCTCTTCTCCTCATCCTGATTTGCCTCCTGTATTCCTCTTGTATTAATTTTGTGTCTTTTATGAGCTACCTGTCCATGAAAAATTAATCAGTTGATCTAAGAAACAAATAGGAAATTTTATTCAAGCCAGATCTGAGGATTATAACCTGAGAAGAGCATCTCAGAAAGCTCTGAAAACTGTCCCACTGGTTAGAAGTCAAGGCACAGTTATGTAAGTTTTCGGAAACAGAGGGCTGTCCGTCAAATGATGTGTTATTGACAGTTTGCATAATCCAGATCTAAGTGGCATCCTGGTGGGTCATGTGACCCCTGACAAGATCAAAGAGGAATGTCGTCTTTTAAGGAGCTGTCTTGTTGATGCTAGGACCTTGCTCTTTGTGGTTGAGCAGGTTTTCGCCCATGGGGGAGGTTTGGTCCACGTGTAATGCAGATACACAATGCCCAGGGCGGGGAGAGAGGAGGCCAGAAGGCGGAGAAGGATGTTTTATGTTTAAATTTTTCTTGTCTGGCCATAAAATATGAATTTTATTTCACACACCCTAAATCACTTCATTAAAAGGCAGGAAATTTTGTAATTAAAATTATCTTTACTTATGGACCAGCACTTTTCTGTGCCTGCAGATTAGAACAAAACAGCAACTGCAAACACTTGTTGTAGGAAAAGCTCTATTTTTTCCCATCTACTCTCAATACTTCTCTTCTGACCAACAAATATGTGAGGTTTTCCCCACACTAGGCAATTCTCTAACTCACAGGGGACGCCAACTGGATGTCCTAAAATTTAACTCAGTTCTGACACTGCCTACCTGGAGTTAGCATCAGATCCCACAGAGTAAGGGCTCAATTCCCGCAAGAGTGCCCCCATTTCACACACCAAACACAAGCCAGGTTATCGCCTGTACCTCTGACCAACCAGCTATAAATTGAAGTTCTCACAACCCCCTTCTTGGGTTTGATAATTTGCCAGAATGGCTTGTAGAACTCAGGGAAACATTTACTTATGTTTACCTATTTATTATAAGAGGTTGGAACTCAGTGACAGCCAGACACAAGAGAAGCACAGGGCAACGTAATGAGGGGAGTAGCATGGAGCTCCTGTGCCCTGTCCAGGTGCACCACCCTCTCAGTACTTCTAGGCAGAGTTCACCAACTTGAAAGTTCATCAAATCTTCTTGTTCAAGAGTTTTCATAGAACCTAATCTCCAGCCCTTCTCACCCTTCTCCCAATTCCAACCTCTAATCACTCTTTCTAGTAACCCACCCCTCCCTAAATCACTCATTAGCATAAACTCCGAGGTGATGAAAGGGGCTTCTTATGAATAACTGAAGAAGTCACTCAGGTTTCAGGAGCTCTGTGCTAGAAACCAGGGACAAAGATCAAATATATTTCTTACTACACTTTTCCGTTGTGTAAATATCAATACCGTTCTTCACTCCTCAAAACCTTGGTATCAGAGACAAGCATAACATAATGATTACAGAGTTTTAAACAGATGCCCAATGACATTTTAGCCATTTCCCCAGGTTAGAAAGGTCATGGACACTGATTGGCACATGAGAATTTAAGGGGCAGAGAAAGGGGTAGAAGTGTTCCCCAAAAACTGAGTTCGCCTCTTGGTGGATATCAAGAGCCAAAAGACACAACCAAGCCAAAAATGGGGAGAAGGAAGGATTTGTTACTTGCAGCAAGTGAGA